CTAGCCTTACCACCAAATGACTACAGCCCCATTGACTCCCTCTGCCAATGCACTGATGAAATTAACAGTTGGATATGCCAGAACTTTCTTCAGTTAAACAAGGAGAAAACTGAAGTCATTGCATTTGAAAGTTTTTAAATTCCTTGTTTTATTGTTGTGATAATTTTTTTATTTTCTTTTATGTAAAGCACTTTGAATTACCATTGTGTATGAAATGTGCTCTATAAATAAACTTGCCTTGCCGAGACCTAAAAATGGCTGTCCACCGACAGTCCCCATCCAACCTGACCAAGCTTGAGAGAATTTGCAAAGAAGAATGGCAGAAAATCCCCCAATCCAGGTGTGCAAAGCTTGTTGCGTCAAACCCAAAAAGACTCGAGACTGTAATTGCTGCAAGTGCTTCAACTAAGTACTGCGTATACTTATGTAAATGTGGCATTTCAGTTTTTTCTTTTTATGTGTATATATATATATATATATATATATATATATATATATAGTTATGCAATTATGACTTGCAGTAATTGTGCACTGTAGTTTAAAGAAAATTAATTTGATGTTATTAAAAGGAAAGCAGTTTGTACTTTAGTGTCTATTGCATAAACGTCATCAAAATCACAGTTCTTCTTATGTATGTTGTTAGTTTTGACCATTTCGCTGCATAACCCGATAAACAGAACTGGATAATAAACGTTTATGTTACTTTCAGCAGAGACTAGAGTGGATTGTTGGACAAAATGGACAGTCAGCAAATTTTGGTCCATGTACAGTCAGGCAGAGCGAGCAGTTTTGGGGAAGTTTAAGGGAAAACACATATTTATTTGAAACACCCTGTTCTCTGATAGCAGTGACTGGATGCTAATTGAGGCGGTTGCGGTGTCCTGTAGGGATAATGCAGCGGAGCGAGACTGTGTGTGGGAGTGCCGCCCATTTACGTCCATTACTGCACAACCACCAGGTCCCCAGCAGTCTGCCCTACATCAAACACATTTAGAAATCTCTGCCAGAGCCCGGACTGAATTACAGCCAATCAGTCGCGAACAACCGCCACCTGCTTCAAGCCTGAACGACGGACATCACCAGGATGACAAATATGGACAGATAAATTGAGATCTGAATGCACTGGATAAAAACTCTGACTTATCAAGTGCTCGGATATCATATCAGTTCTGCCCTCAACCAGCAAACTGCCCATTCCTGCTTGACCTTTGACCTCTGGATGGATCGGAGCACACCTCCATTATTCAGTTCCACTGGATCAATGAGCTTGCGAGCAAAGCAGCAATTAGCAAACACCTCTCAGCCTGAGTGCTGAACACACTTCTAATGAGGTGTGTGAGGGGCCGCGGGGCATACGTGATCAATACAGCCAGCCATGTGACACAGAGAGAGAGAAAACAACAAATCTGCTTTTCCATCAACTGCCAGTTACAGCTAGACAAAAAAAAAGTATTATAGCCTCAGTACTCTCGCTGATTTAAACTCACTAGGCACAAATAATATTGCAACAAAATTGTTTTTGTAAACTGAAAAAAATGTAATAATAAAATAAAAATAAATAAATAAATTAGACAAACACTTAAACTTGAATGGAAATGTTGCCTTGGCAAACTAACTGAAATAAAATGAGAACTAAAATTACTAAAACTAAAACAGAAAAAAACATTATACTCTCTCTCTCTCTCTCTCTATATATATATATATATATATATATATAATCTATATATAAATTATATAAATCACAACACAAAAGTACATGAAATTACTGAAACTAAAGTTAAAATGAAAGCTGAAAATATAAAATTAAATGATAATTCAATTTTAATAAATACTATAATAGCATATAAATAATACTGAAAAAACACTGGTAAAGCTAGTTATAAAACACATACTAGCTTTGTGAACTGCACTATAACTCACTAAGTATTACATACACACATAATACATGCTTAGTACAATGCATTCAAAAAGTATTCTAACTACTACCATTTATTGTTACATATGTTTAAGTCTTATGCTAAAATGCTTACAATAATTCTTATAAATTATTATAATTTCAATTATTTAAAAAAATGTTTTGCATTAAATGATTAATTAATTATGTATTTTTTTTTATTAAAACAGAACATATTTAATTTTCCTTCTTTTTAATAAAATATGTAACATTATTACAAATCTGATTTTTGATTTGCCATTATGTGGTATAGAGTATAGACTGATGTGAAAAAGGGTCTAAAAAACATTTTAGCATAAAGGCTGCAACACAGAATGTGAATAAAATGCACATTTGGTCTGAATACTTTCTGAATACACCGTATATTTCAGGGCATACTGTGTCCAGTCTAATTCAGTAATTGATTTCGTATTGATCTGCAGTACACTTATTACAAGGAAAATCCCTCTTGGAGTAACCTGAGGTTCAGTATCTTGAACAAATGGTGAGATAAGGGGTCGGCCCTTGCAGGATTCAAACCTACAACATTTTGGCTACTAGCCCAGATCTTTAACCACCACACCACCAAGTCTTAAGGGACTAAACTAGTCTTAAATCTAAACCAGTGGTTCTCAGGGAGTCGGGGCCCACTAGAAGATTCAGCATACTCTCAAGGGCAGGATAGTTCACAAAAAAATGAAAATTAAGTCATCATTTACTCGCCCTGGTGTTGTTCTAATGTCATATGCCCTACTTTCTTTTTCGAACAGCAAAAAGAAAAAAAAATCTGCTTGCACTGGCACAAGGTCATTAATACAGTACCTTAAAAAATTAATAAAAAAATAATTTTCGGTAATACATTAAATTTCGGTCTGTTTTCAATAAAACCCTATCGTATACCACCAGAATCAGGAAGGGGGCCAACACTTTTTCACACCACTGTATATTTGGCACTTGTTGGATGGGAACATCATTTTTCTTTTTCTTTTTTAATCTGGATGTTGGTTGCTACTCACTACCATTATATGGACAAGCATGAACAGGACATTTTTCAAAATTTCCCCACAAAAAGAAGAAAAAAAGAAGTTCATACAGCATTTAAAACCACGCCAGGGCGAGTAAATAATGACTGAATTTTCATTTTTGAGTTAACTACCTCTTTAAAAGCATTTAAATTGATAAATTACTATTGATATATTGAAACAATCTACATCTAATCTAGATTAAAATGTGGAAAATTGCATAAAATCAAGAAATCAAACTGAAATCCATAACGACAATGACCGCATAATTACTATGGTTTTTACTGAATACATTTTGGAATCTCAAAACCAATCAAATTAATATATCAATATTTTAGGTTTCTGTCAATAAATAAATAAAACAAAATCTAAAATATTCTATAGCCAAAAAGCATGAGAACCACTGGTCTACTCTAAACTGGTTTAAAATCCAACAAAATCCTTTGATTTCCATATTCATTTTGAACATACAATTATATTGTCATATGTGACCCTGGAGCACAAAAGCAGTCTTAAGTCGCTGGGGTATATTTGTAGCAATAGCCAAAAATACATTGCATGGGTCAAAATTATTGATTTTTCTTTTATGCCAAAAATCATTAGGATATTAAGTAGAGATCATGTACCATGAAGATATTTTGTAAATTTCCTTCCGTAAATATATCAAAACTTCATTTTTGATTAGTAATATGCATAGCTAAGAACTTCATTTGGACAAATTTAAAGGCGATTTTCTCAATATTTTGATTTTTTTGCACCCAAAGATTTTCAAATAGTTGTATCTCGGCCAAATATTGTCTTATCCTAACAAACCATACATCAATGGAAAGCTTATTTATTCAGCTTTCAGATTATCTATAAATCCCAATTTTGAAAAATTGACACTTAAGGCTGGTTTTGTGGTCCAGGGTCACATATTTCAAAGAGTAATTTACTGACTTAACATGAAACTGATAAACAGACATTAGCCCTAAAAAAATAGTTCACCCAGATCTCATAACTGCTTTAAGTTTGTACAGAAAGAAGCAGCGTAAACAGAAGAAACTACTTTCATTTTCTGGTCAAACTCTATTGAAGTATGGGAGTTCAAGGTTAAATGACTGATCCTAAAACTGGACTGAAGACCTTCACATTTGCTCCAGTGAGAGGAGACGGCATTCACAGCAGCTGCCCGACAACCACAGGACCTCAACGAGACACAAGCGCATCTTAAATAGCAACTCCAGCACATGTGCTGCAAACACCTGACATCTGGCATCGTCTGCCGTCAATAACACCATTCTTTCTTCAAAACCCGGTTGAATTCTCTCCAGCAAATGCCCTCAGATGGAGGACATAGTTACCAGTAAAAAATGAAATCGGTGCACATATGTGCAGAAAGTCGGCAGATGTGGGAGTTAAAGCGTAAGAGTGCATCAATCAGACTGTACAAGAGCAGATCTCAGGTATTAACCACTATCGCCACCTGCTGTTTATGTACAGCAACAAAAATAAAGAGTACCGCTTTCAGTGAACACATGCCTATGTAATGTCCATTAACTGTTAGTAGACCGTCATGAGACATTACAATCATCATCAGTGCAGTAGCCAAAGCCATGCGACACTCTTCTGAGTGTTACAGGGTTAAATCATAAAGCCATCAAGAAGAATACAGCAGTATAATATAGCACAGCATGCAGCGGTATACAATATTACTCAATTATTGATTTGGCGACCAGTTAAATGAGCTGTTAGAAGCACGAAACATTTCTTTGACTAAATAGTTCATGCGAGCCATACACAAACTGATAGCAATTCAATTGATATCTATTTGCATGCAACACTGGAATTTTAGCATCCAAATCAACAGAATACATGCAAAACTGCATCTATCACTAATGAAACATGCGCTTGTAGTTTATTCTTGTACTCTTATGTCTGTTTTAGATGCATGCAAGTGAAACTTCAGGGTTAAGTAGGGAGGAAATGAGCGGGGTGGATGATGGATGAAAAAATACATCTGTAATATCAGACTGCTGTTTTGTGGGCAACACATCAGTACATACCCAGAAAGAGCCTCTTAGGAACTTTGATTTCTTCATCCTTACTGTCTGTTGCTTCAGACAAATAAGACAAATAAACAAAAAATAAGAACAGGGAGATTGCATCGCTCCATCTTCACGAGGACACAAAAAGCCCTGAAGGGATGAAACTCGTGAAAACATGTGCAGGTCATATTTCACCCCAAAATCAGCTGAAAAGGAACTATTTTTCATAAAGAAAAGGAAAAACCTATTTTTGTTGGACCATTATGATATGTGACATTATTTTCATGATAATTAGTTTCATTTTTCTTAAGCAAAACATTCTGTAATTTTTTCATGCCAATTTTTTCAAATATGAAGTTTTATTTGTTAAAAAAATACAGTAAACACTGTGACATTGTAAAATATTATTAAAAAACACCCGTTTTCTATTTCAATACATTTTAAAATTTCATTTTACATGGACACGTGATCCTTCAGAAATCATTCTGTTATTTTTATTATAAAATCATACTTAACCCAGACCTTTGAATGGTCGTGTATCACGGTTTGCACAAAAATATTTAGCAAAACTGTTTTCAACTGTGATAATAATGTTTCTTGGATCATGTGACACTGAAGACTGCAGTAATGATGCTGAAAATTTAGCTTTGCATCACAGAAATCAATTACATTTTGAAACGTATTCAAACGGAGCACAGTTATTTTAAATTGTAATAATATTTCACAATATTACTGTGTTTACTGAATCAAATAAATGCAGCCTTGGCAACTATGAAAGACTTCTGTTCTGTCAAAAGTTATATATGACGGTCATTAATTTTTATGAGTAAGACCATGAGATCATGGGAACCTTAAGACTTGAATTTCAATGTTGGTTTGGATCTTGATTCAATTCATTTTACAGTTGTTTCCTTGCTTCATCTGGTAATTCTGAACATTCTCCATCTGTCGAGAAGCCGCTGGAGAGTTTGCAAGTGGCATGATGTGAAGCTAGCTGTTTGTGTCGTGATCAAAACGGCTCCGGCTGTCAAACTGTCGTCTTAACATCAGTGACGTGGTCTAAAGACAAGTCAACCCATAAAGACACACTTGGGTACGGCTTTACACTAATAGATAAAAACCGATTAAACAGGACGTCTTGTGCAAACAGAAGAGTGAGAGACTATTAGCTCTAACAAATGTGTCCAGGGAGTGTTTCTAAATAAGCATATTCTTCATTCAGCAGTATGTATACTTAGAAACACTAGACTGAAGCATTACTTACTATATACTGCATCACATATTATTCTTAAAAATGAGTACACTGTATACAATACATGCAAAGTTCAGTGCTCTGGCTCAGTTTGAGAGAACAAACTCATCTTTTGTTAACTTTGTACCACACCCCAACTATAAATAAAGCTGAGATGTTCACCAAGCAGCCAGCCATTCAAAGTTCATCCACTTCAGAGGCCCTTCTTGTGTGATAATCTCATGAGACACGCTCAAAGAAAGACCCTGACCATGTGATTGTATCACGTACTGTAATTCAATAGTCTGTAAACTACAGAACCAGTTGATTCCTGGGAATAAAAGAATGCTGATAAACTTCCGTCTGCAGCTCCACACACACACACACACACTCAATTGGACAAAGAGGCTGTAAAGAGTCCTAAAGTTTGTCACCTGTGAAGGAGCGGCGTTTGGTGTTGAGTTCGGTGGCCATGCGGACGCTGGTGCACAGGTTCAGCATGATTAACATCGTGATGATCATGATTATACTCTGCCAAAGCAGCGGAGTCTCAAAGTAACGTCCAAACCTGAAAAAATAATAACAACACACACATATACACTGCTCAGAGAAAAGCATCTTTTAACCAGTAAATTGGGGGACTATATATTTCTCTTTCTTTGGCCTGTAAAGTCTTGAGACAGCATGTATTGTCTCATTTTTCTTGCCTTGTTCTGTTTAATTTAGCCAAAAGGTAAGCTACAAGTATTTTTACTCATTTATGCATATCAGTAAGGTTGTACCAAATACTAGTGTAACTGGTAAGACTTTTGTATATAAACAGGGATTTTTAAAAATCATTTTACAGAGATTTCCATTTGTCACCAGCCTTTGAAATGTATATACTTAATAGAAATGTGACAAAAGAATATTTCAGATATTAAAAAAAAATAATAATAATAAAAATGAAGTGGCTAGATGGGAGAATGGCTCAAAGTTATATTCTTTTATTATAGAATATAATATAAAAATTAGTGCTGTCAAACGATTAATCGCGATTAATCGCATCCAAAATAAGAGTTTTTGTTCACATAATATATATGCGTGTGTACTGTGTATATTTATTATATGTATATATAAATGCACAAACATGCATGTATATATTTAAGTTAAATTTATATATTAAATATATTTATATATAATATAAATTATATGAATATAAATGTATACATGTAAATATTTTCAAAATATATGCTGTATGTGTATGCATTTATTTATATATGCATGATAAATATACACAGTACATGCACATATAAGCAAAACTTTTATTTTGGATGCGATTAATTGATTTGACAGCACTAAAACACACATTATAGTGGATTATGCCAGATCAGTGGACTGCGTGCCATGTGTTTATATCGCTCCTTCATATAGCTGTCTTGCGGCAGGTGTAGTGTCTCCAGACATGATGGTTGAGATATGAGAACTCACCTAAACAGTATTCTTAATATGTTGGCAACCAGCAGCACCAGACACACATATGTGGAGAATCCCTCAGCATTCTGGGTCCTGCGGATGTCCCTGTACTGAGGGATGTATGGCACAACCCCTCCAAATATGATGGCAACAGATACGATCCAAGACACCGCTTGATGAGCAACATACATGATCTGATCCATAATCACTTCATCCATCTTTGAGTGATGTAGCTGTCTTTTATCATTAAAATCAACTGAATGCAATGACTAGCCCACTAATGTAATAACACATAAATCATTACTATTTTGTGCACATTTTAAAATTTAATTTCTTGCTGATTACTGGATGCATACTCTAAACAACAGCAGTAAATGTACTTTCATTGTCCCAGTCAACATCCACTGATTCATTAGATCTAATTCATTCAAGTGATTCTCCTTTCCAGCAAAGAAATACTTGCTTAATCGATGGGAACGGATTCTCAGCGTGGGTCCATGTTAGACGACGTGTATCTCCTGTCTTGCAGAGATCAACAGAGCGCTGTAAAACATTTTAAAGCCACTGTGATCCTCTCTGCTACAGCTGGCTAAAGCTCATAACAGTACTTCCGTGTTGCATACGTCACAACACGCCCATTACATATTCATGAGACGCGCGGTCCTATCGCCAGCCGAGTTTCCTGACGCGCGTTTGAGACGAAACTGAAGATAGCCTACAACAAATTATTTTCGATTAAACCCAGCATTTCTGGATGTGAGGATTACATTTACCACCACATATTAGACTCAGACATGACCTGACTTGATCTCAAACTGTCTTATACTTGTGATGGACAGTGTTGGGGGTAACACATTACAAGTAACGCGAGTTACGTGTTGACCCTGAGAGGTCAAGTAAATATCTACAGCGGATCTAAATATTTATAATTAATTATAACTAGTTATGATTAATTATTCATATTTCCCTTATGAGCTGATTCGCTACACTCTAGACAAACATTATGTGTCTTTGTTTATTGCTGAAGTGTGTTGAAATTTCTTCTTCTGCATTCTACTGTACGGACGTAAATTTACTTTCCCTTCAGCCTGAGGCTTATTCATTTCACTTTTGGTGTGAAAAGCTTTTATATTTGCCAAAAATATAACTTTTTTATTTTAAAAACAAACAAGCAAGCCCTGTCCAAATTTAAAAAGTAACGCAAAAGTAACGTAACGCATTACTTTCCATAAAAAGTAACTAAGTAACGTAATTCGTTACTTTTTTATGGAGTAACGCAATATTGTAATGCATTACTTTTAAAAGTAACTTTCCCCAACACTGGTGACGGAATATTTGTGTCGTTTAATCCCTTCGAAATCCAAATGAAGTTACCATACCGACTCCATGTTACATAATTCATGAAATCAAAATTATTAAATATTAGCAGCACTGTGTAATTCAAAAGATTTAACTGTTACCCATCAGTGTTGTAGATATTACACAAATATCTTTTCTGATAGCCTATAAAAGGGTTAAATGTAGACATGGGTGCCTTCTATACGAAAGAGGAAGTTTTTTTACAGCGTATGCAAACAATCAGAGGGAAAAGTTGAAAAGTTATAGAATCCTTTTATTCTGAAATATACATATCTCCAAAAACCTCTGAGATTAAAGCACACGTCTATTATTTTCAAACTCGTGCGGTTTTAGTCCAGATAACGTCGGTAGCCTCGAGCTGAAACGATCAACTAACCCAACATAAACCAACTCAAACAACCCTCATGGCAGGATCCGAGTCAAAAGCTGACTGCAATGGTAAGTGATTATGTTAAAGGGGTCATATGATGCGATTTCAAGTTTTCCTTCTTTGTAGAAAACGAAGCGTTTGAGAGAGGCGGGGCATAGAGGACCTACAATAATGTACAGTATTTGAAAAATAATGTGTTTTTTGAACATTAAAGCATGTCAACATATTATGCTACACCAAATACACCAAATAATGATCTTTAAAAAGCATCATATGACCCCTTTAATATTGACAGTTCTTATAGATTCAATTAATTTCTTTTCTTCAAACAGATGGAGACGACGATGCAGCAACTTCAGAGCAGGTTTCAGAACTTATCTGACCAAATCATCTCCAAAAATATCTTTTCAGATGCATAATCTTGTTTTATAGAAGCAGCACGATATGTTTAGATGAAAGTTTGTTTACTGTCACAGCACTAGCATAAAATGTATTTGAATTGCTACCATAGTAATATCATGTTTCAGACACAATACAATGCCACTATAGCACACTTTAGAGTAAATACCATGCTATTCTTTTAAGTAGAACCATGTAAATAATCTAATCTATATGATTATATAATCTATATCTAATCATGGTGTCACCACAGCATGTGTTATTAGAAATGTAGACTTTTATTCAGCAAAATTGATCAAAAGCAACAGTAAAGACATTTAAAATGTAGCCTATCATGTTTTCCATGACAATATTGAGTAGGGCTGCGTTCAGCGCCGACAAAACGGTGCAAAACGTGTTTTAAACGGAAACGGTGGTGCGTTGAACACCCTGTTCTGATGACTCAAGAGTTGCAACTTGATGACGCAAGAGTTGCAACTATGGCAGCTGAGAAGGTCATTCTTTGTGTTATTTTAGAAGAATTTTCGGAGCCTGATGAAATCGGTATAAATACGTGGTTAATACTGCAAAATATGCTTGATGTTACAGTCACTGCCCTTGCCTTCCAGAATAAAAGAGAACATCCCAATCGAGTGAAGGGATTTGTGGAAACTGTGGTTCCTAATTATTGTGATCCAACATTTGCCTCGCATTTCAGGATGAAAAGACAAACATTTCAGGTGAAGGATAATCCACTTCTTACCTCCGAGACTGTGCTATGATCTATATGACCTTATTATTTTAATTGTGAGTATTCGGCTTATCATTATTGCTGATCATTGTTGCTGTGCTATGATATTGTAATATTTACCATTATATAATCAGAGGAATATAGAAAAGTTTATGAAAGTGTCACTCCACTATACAATAGCAAAATATATAAATATGTATAGTATTTTTATGTTACATTAATCAGTATTTAGCACACCTTCCTAAGGAAAGGATATGGACCAGAAGACATTGCAATTACTAAATGATATTTAGACAGACTTAAAGAAGTTCCAGATCTATACTTGTGCCCTTATTATTTCAGTTATTTTGCCTTTAATGTAAATAAACATGTGCAAACAATATACTTGCTCTTGTGAGTTTATTTGGATGTTAATTACATTGTGCGAGCTGTCTCTTTAATACCGCGTGGTTTATATACATGTTGCTGCTGATTGGGCTGACATTTTTGACACACCCACCAAACAAGAGCAAACACATCTCAAACCCCGTTGCACACCGTTTCCAGGAAACATGTTGTTCAAACCGGAAACCGTAGCAAAACGGTGCACACCGGTTTGAGCTTGAACTTGCCCCAGCACAGCTGTTTTAATTCTAAGAAATGTTAATAAGAAATGTTTCTTGAGCAGCATATTAGAATGATTTCTGAAGGATCATGTGACACTAATGATGCTGAAAATTCAGCTTTGATCACAGGAATAAAATCACATTTTAAAATATATTACAATAGAAAATGGTTCTTTGAAATTGTAATAATATTTCACAATATTACTGTTTTTACTGTATTTTTTTATCAAATAATTGCAGCCAAAAACCTTAAAAATCATACCTACCCTACACTTTTAAACGGTCTACTGTACATGTAGTCATTTCAAAAACATTATAAACATCAGGTTTATACAGTACCTAAATGCATTTAGTTTTGTTTATCTTGAGCATGTTTCAAAGGTCCTCAGTCTGTTTGGAGTCTCATGTCATTTTCACATTCTTTGGACTCCTTGATTGTGCAGACTTCATTCTGTGTGAAACTATTTATTACAGCGGTGTAAAACTCAGTTCCTGGAGGGCCACAGCCCTGCAAAGTTCAGCTTCAACCCTAATTAAACAAAACCTGATCCAGCTAATCAAGTCCTTCAGGATTATTTGAAAACGACAGGTATGCGTGTTGAAACCGGGTTGGATCTAAACTCTGTATACCGTCCTGCAGACTTCAGTTCCAGTTCCTGAACATCTTTATTAGCAGGTTCAGCTGAAATCTGCAGGATGGTAGCTCTCCAGAAGCAGGTTTGGAGACCCCCTGTGCTACACAAAGAACTGAGGGTTTTCCTTAATGCCTGAACTGGACGAGATGGGAACATGTATAGATGACCTGGAGAAGAACGTCGCTGATCTCATGACACAAGCAGGAGCTGAGGAGCATTATAAATCAAAGCAAGTGCAATGGATTTATTTTAGTCAGTCTCCCAATTTAAACAGTAGATAATAATATCATTTAATATTTCTGTTTTTCTGTACAGTGGCTTTGAAGAGAGACCAGGCTGGCCAAAGCACTGAGCACAAATGTTGGAGAAGCTGGGATCAACAGAATATATTGTTTTTTATATGCATGAATTATAATTATTTTCTGTATGATTTAGGTTTGTATATATGATGTGGATCTTGTACCTAAAGCAATACATGAACTTGTTTAGCCTTTTGTGTTAAATCTTTTCCAGGATATAATATAAACAAAAATGGAAACATGTAACAAGTTAATATAAAGTACCTCTTGCCGACAACTTCAATGATCTTTGAAAGCTGTCATAAAGCTATAAGCCAAAAAGACTTAACTGGTCCATTTTTAATGTGAAATACTTGCAAAGGACTTAGCAATGCATAACTGAACGTAAGGGAATTCTTATTAACTTTTGCTTTCATTTTGCATGATTTTGTAATATTTTGCACTAAGCACTCATATAGTATCCTATGTTTATTACTTAAAAAGGGGTTTGTTCAAAATGAACCATTATGCGACACTACGCTATGGTTAACTGATGTTGGCAGGCATTAAATGTACATTTGTGTGTAGCCTACTATAATTCACAATATTTATTTAATTTGATAGAACTATAGTGTTATAGTTTTTCATATATGAAAATTAATATATTAATTTGATTTAATATTAATATATTAACAAACAGGTAGCAATCGCAATGTAATCTGGATTACACAATTAAGATTCCAAAAATGAAGTAGGCCTACTTGTAATTAGATTATATTACGTTTCAAAATGCTCATACATCAGATTACAGTTACTTTTTTATGGATTACATGATTTCGTATTATTCACGCAGTGGCAGTAAATTATTCAGTTTTTCTTTTTCTTTTAATTTTTCCTTTCTAAATGAACCTACCTGCTAGTAATCATGTACAATGTTGGTCAACATTTGACCACATTGGTCAATTTTTTTCAAATTTTAAATTTTTACAATTTGACATTTTTATATTACTTGTCATTGAAATGTGACATTTTTATATTAGATTTTCATCAACACCCTACTGTTTTTTCACGAACCCCAATTTGGGAAACCCTGCTCTCTCTCTCTCTCTCTTTACAGAATATGGTACACAAGAATCCCATTTAACTTTATTTGATAAATGAGTTAGGTCAAGAAGTAATCTAAAAGTAATCAAAAAACTACATTACTAAATATGTGTAATCCAGATTATGTTACTACCTAACTACAATTGTCATGCAATAGTAATGGAATGGATTTGTAACTGTTAACAAGGTGTAATTTTGCTATATCATTTAGCCAGCAGGTGGCAGCATTGTTTCTCTCTTGGCTGAGATACAACTATTTGAAAATCTGGAATCTGAGGGTGCAAAAAAATCAAAATATTGAGAAAATAGCCTTTAAAGTTGTCCAAATGAAGTCCTTAGCTATGCATATTACTAATAAAAAAAATGGATATATTTACGGTAGGAAATTTACAAAATATCTTCATGGAACATGATCTTTATTTAACATCCTAATGATTTTTGGCATAAAAGAAAAATCGATCATTATCGATTTTAACCCATACAATGTAGGCTATTGTTGGCTATTGCTACAAATATACCTGTGCTACTTATGACTGGGTTTGTGCTCCAGGGTCACATATTATTAGATATAAAAGAAAAAGAGACAGTAATGTAGTAAAATATTAATGTAGCCTAATATTTAAGTAGCCTATTTACTGAAACATTATTCTTTGCCTTGTTTCTTGTTTTGTAATTATTTTGTGAACGTACAAATAAAGCTGTCAAACCTTCCGAAACTTGTTGGCAAACAGCAACAAGCAGATGTACTGTCCGCTATATAATGCCAAAAAACTCATCCCCATCCCGCATTTGAATCATTAAAAAATGCATGATTTTTACCCCCCCCCCCCAGTGTGGTTTACATGAAATATCGCGAGATTTGTGCGGACGCTATTCACCAAAGATACGCCACCGCCGTAGCCCCAGTGGTTGTCAAGGGAGACTACGCAAGAAATGTGACGTACGCCTGTGGGCCGGACCGTGAGTTGGAGAAAGGGAATGTCGGTCGGCGAGAGATCGGTTACAGAGGCGGCCGGGAGCGTCAGCAGAATGGGTGAGTGTTTAATCTCTGTCGCTTTGTTAAACTCGCGGTTTGTCAAACTCTTCTGTAAGCAGATTTATAGCTTTGTTTGTGCGGTGTGTTTTGAGTACGCGTGCGTTGTTGCGCGCGGCACATGCGTTTCCTGAGCGTGTTAAAAGACAAATAGATCTGCTCGAGCTCCTGTTTCAGTCTAGTCTTCGCTCTGTATGTCATTATCATACCAATTACTGTCTCTTTTCTAGTCTAAGTATTTCATTTTAATGGTTACGCTCACAAAATTGTACTGTGGGTGGTACAACGAATGTATCAGATAGTAACGCCATAGTACTCAATCATTGTGCTGTGGTATTTTCATTGTACGTTACTTTAAAGAGTACCATAATAAACAAAATATGGCATTACCACAGTATTTTGTCCGTGAAAATACCGGTAGGACGGGCTTAAGCAGTGAATGCAGTGCTGTGGCCAGACAGAGAAACACCTCCTTGTGTCTGTCACTCTCAGCTTTGGAGAAATATTCAAATGTGTGTGTTGCAGTAGGTTTCGCTCCAGCACTAATTAAACACACACGATGTAGTATATATTTTTACTCATGAACCATCTAATCAAGCTGTTTTAGAGTACTGGAAACTTTTAGGCAGGTGTGTTGGAGCTAAACACCTGAAAGTGGCTCCTCCAGAAGCAGGATTGGACTCCCCTGCTGCAGAGAATTGATTATATACCATTAATAGATAGATAGCTCTAATACCATTAGGTTAATAGATAGAGGGATAGATCTAGTATATAGCCTATAGAGGAGTGGACAGAACAATGGATTGGGCACATAGATGGCTAGATGGGGTGGATAGGTTAATGGATTGGGCACGTGGAGATAGATAGGTGGTAGATGGATAGATGAATGGGTGGATAGATGGGTTGGCTAGATCTGTAAACAGATTGATTTGTTTATACCCAAATAATCCATCTTGTACACATTTTACAAGAAATGCACAGATACAAATACATTCGTTTTTCCTTTTCTTTTTAAAAACTCCACATTTTCTCCAAATTGTCGTTTGCTGATAATTAAAGTCTGCGTAAACTGGGAGGTGCAACCAACTTTTTGAGACGTATATAGGCTATTTCTGGGTGAAGCACAATAATGACTAGAAGGCTGGGCTTGATTTTAGCACGCTTCCACACCATCTCTAGCTGGCAGCACACTGACTGTTTGCGGGTTTAGGATGTTCTGCCCAAGCCGTCAGACTGACATCATCAAACAGAGATGAAGCACATTTTCCGAATTTGACTGAAGAACACTTTTTTTTATTTTATTTTTTTCCCCTCACTGGATTTACTTGCATGGATTATTTGTTCATCAAATGACTAGTAATGTGTGCTAACAAAGTACAAAGAGTCCATTTTGATTCATGCAGACTTCATCTTAAAGTTCATATTTAAGATGTTGCATGTAGATTAGCTGACTTTACCTTTACTTTTAAGCAGCATAACATCTCATATGAAGCCTACAAAAGCAATTTGTCCTATAGCAACACACAGCATGATCATCTGTGAGTGAGATCTCTGGTGTGGCTGAAGAGCCTTGTTTGGTGGGAAGAATTCCTCCTTTATTTATTCCCATGATGTTTGGATCACATGGCTATTGCTTGAATCGGTCCTGTCCATTCACATTTGACTGTGTGTTTTTCATGGTTAGTCCTGAGGCTTCATAAAACAAAAATACAGTTGAATTTGATCCTGAATTCCATGGATTTCATCCTACACCAAAAGGGAAGAAATCAGGATTTTAAGGCAGGGTCTGGGTCGAAACTTCTTTGTTTGGCCTTCCAAAAGAGGACGATATCCACTTCGTCATTCCTGGAGCTGATCCCGTGCTGATCGCTGAGGAAATACATCAACTTTGTGCTGTGGATCGCCGGATCGGCTTTCACCGTGGACGAAGCGGAGTCCAGCCTGGGGTCGTCAC